CCCAGAGGAGTATCAGAGCCAAAGGTTATTACTACTTTTTGAGACAGGTTCTCACTCCGTCCCCTAGGCTGGAGTCCAGCGGCATAATCTTGGCTCATCTCAGGTTCAATCAATCCTCCTGCCTCAGTCTCCTGAGTAGCTGGGACTACAGGCGCCCACCACCACACCTGGCTAATTTTTGTTGTTTTTACTAAAGACGGGATTTGACCGTGTTGCTCAGGCTGGTCTCAAACTCCTGGTCTCAAATGATCCATCTGCCTCGGCCTCCCAAAGTGCTGAGATTACAGGTATGAGCCACCACACCCGGCCTGGGCCAAAGACCAAGAAAGAACCTGGAGGTGACCCAGGCCTCACTTCTCAGAGCCTGCCTTTGTCCCACGAGGTCAGCTGAGACCAGGTCAAGAGATGTGTAGAGATTTTTGTCATCCCATGTAGTAGAAAAGACAAATCTACTAGGAGGTCATTCGTTCTCAGTAAGTTTTTCTTGCCAGTCTTTTCCTTACAGATCCGTGCCAGCTATGCCAAACCCGGGTCACCAGCGAGTGTTGGGGAAGGGGTGGGGGCGTCCACCCACACTTGCCAGAGCAGCACACATGGGTGGGACCTGGGTGCAAAGGCAGGACAGGGCCAGGTTTTCAGCTGTGAAAACCGTTCCTGGTTGGTCTGCTGAAACCAATCTCTGATGGGATTCCAAAGCCCTCCCGGGAACAGGGGAGAAGGGTCCTCAGAGTCCCCCTCCCTCCTTTGCAGACCCACAAGAAACTGGCAGTCCTGGGGGGGTCTTCCAAACCCTGGACCACTCCAAGAGAGTCCACTTGGCTGCTGGGTGCTCTGTGTGTAATTCCAAGAGCCGGGGTATTCGTCCATTTTCCAACTGCTGATAAAGACACACCCACAACTGGGCAATTGACGAAAGAAAGAGGTTTAATGGACTTAAAATTCCACATAGCTGGAGAGGCGTCACGATCATGGCGGAAGGCAAGGAGGAGCAAGTCACGTCTTATATGGATGGCGGCAGGCACAGAGAGAGCATGTGCTGGGAAACTCCCTTTTTCACACCATCAGATCTCATGAGACTTATCCACTGTCACAAGAACAGCACAGGAAAGACCCGCCCGCATAATTCAGTGACCTCTCACTGGGTCCCTCCCCCAACACATGGGAATTATGGGAGCTATGAGATTTGAGTGGGAACACAGCCAGACCATATCAGCTGGGGACAAAGTCCACACCTGAGCCATCACAATGGTTGTCCCTGCCACGACCCACATGCCACAACCCCCACTTCCCGACCCATCTGCCAGGCCCACTGAGGGCCTCACCTGCATGGACTCATGAAACCTGCACAAAACATCACCGAATCTCCTCCCTGCTGAACAGAAGGGGACCAGGGTCTGAGAGCTGGAGTAGGTTACCCTAGCCACACAGCCACAGCCACCAAAGCCAGTCCTGGACGAAATGAGCCACTGGCCTGCACTCTGACTGTGAGGCGTGTACTCTCACAGGGAAGGCTTCACTGCAGGCACTGCCCAGGGCAGGGACCTCCACCTTCGGGGCAGGCAGGCCCACTCTGTCCGGCCACAGCTCCCGCTGCTTCTGCAGAAGGGCTCCCGGGGCCTCAGGGAAACACTGCCACAAAGCCCCTGCCTGCCACAGACCCGGAACTTGCCGTCTGGGACAAGGAGGGAGAGCTGGGGCTGTGGGAGGGGGAGGGCTCCTTCCCCCACTGCCCTCCATAGTCACCTGGAGAGTTCGTCTCACTCCCTCACTCTTTTGTTCAAATGAAATAATTTGGGGGAACCACAAAATATAGTTTTCATTTTCAAAACTGGAATCAATTACGATTGGGGGTTAGTTAAATATTTCCAACTGTGTTTGAGCTCAGGTCTGCAGTGCCCAGACCCAGAGTAGAGGAGGGACAGGAAGGTGATACTGAGAGTTTTCAGTGAGAGCACTAAGGGCAGGGGCTACACCTGCAGGCAGCATCCCCTATGCCCGGTCTGCACACACAGCCCTGCACACCCAGCCTGCACGCTCCACCCCTGCACACTCAGGCCTGCACACTCAGGCCTGCACACTCCACCCCTGCACACTCAGCCCTGTACACCCAGCCTGCACACTCTACCCCTGCACACCCAGCCCTGCACACCCAGCCTGCATGCTCCACTCCTGCACACTCAACCCTGCACAATTCAGTCCTGCACAATCCACCCCTGCACACTCAGCCCTGCATAATTCAGTCCTGCATACTCCACCCCTGCACACTCAGCCCTGCACACTCCACCCCTGCACACTTGGCCCTGCACAATTCAGTCTTGCACATTCCACCCCTGCACACCCTGCACACCTGGCCCTACACACCCAGGTCTACACACTCCATCCTGAACACCCAGCCCCACCTAATTCATCCCTGCCCTCTCAGCCCTGCACAATTCAGCCCTGGACCCTCGGCTCTGCACACCCAGCCTCCACACCCTGCCCTTCTTCCGAGAGAATGACCAGGGAGGAGGTTGGGCAGCCACCCTCCAGCTTGTCAACTGCCCCCTGTGAAGACCGAATCTACCCCAACCGGCCACTCTCCCAGGAGGCTCACTACCTCACGGTGAGGATGCTCCTGCCCTGCGGGGACCCTGCTCCCCTCTCCTCCAAAGCAGATCTCAGCAGCTTCCCCCAGACCAGGGCTTCTCCCTGCACCAGGTGGCGGCATGGCCAGAAGTTTCCCTGCGCTCCCTCAGACAGACCTGCCCTCAGCCCAGTTAGGCCACTTGTGAGCAGAGTGCCAGCAGCCGCTAGGTCTCCCCAACCTTGGTTTCCTCTTTCGGGAAGCAGATGAAGTGTGGAGTTGATGAGGTGACGCAGGCAGAGTGTGGCTCAGAGCCAGGAGGGAGCTCCCGGCCTCTGGCCTCCCTGCTCTTCGGTGGGTTCCCATGGTGACCGGGGCATTGGGCTGCTGCTCTGGTGGCTGTGCCCGGGGCCCAGGCACCGTGACAGTCTGTGACACAGGAGTCAGGGTGGAGAGGCTGGCAGGGTGCAGGGCACCTGAGCACACCCCACCCCAAGCACCCAAGCATGGGCATCCGAGCCCGCTCTGCAGTACTGGCCTGGGCCTGGGGCAGCCAGGCCCCTCCCACTGGGCATGGAGCCCCCACACAATGCAAACCCCTAAAGGTGCAGAGCTCCCCAGGGATGCCCAAGCCCCCGCCCCACGCCGGATGCTGGGCCCCCACCTGACGCCGAGCTCCCCCACAGGCAGTGCCGTCCTCAGCCTCCTGCCAGCCCTGCGCCTGCTGGTGCCCCAGGGCCGCCCGTCAGGGCCTCAAGGAGCAGGAGGCTCGGAGCCGCCTCCTGACAAAGATGAGGTGCGGGGAGGGGACGGACGCTGCGCAGACCAGCCCTGAGGGGCAGGCAGGTGTCCTCCGTCCCTTCCTGGAGGACACAGCCAGGAAAGGCCACCTCTCCCCAGGGTCACCTCCTCCTCACCCTCCCCCAGGAACAGAAACCACAGGACACTCTGCTTGGCCGACTGGTGAGCCACAGCCCTGTCCCCGAAACCTCCCCAGCCCGCCCAGTCAGCCCTGGTATTTCCTCATGAAACTGAAGGCAAGGTGCGGGCGCTGCCAACAGATGAGACAAATGAGGCGGACAGGCCCTCGGGCGTTTCTCAACTCCCACCTGTGGCCATGACAGTTCCCAGGGGGCCAGACGTGACAGTCAGACGTGCCCTCCAGGCAGGGATGGGTCACCTCTGACCAGCCCGCACAGGGACCGCAGGGAGGCCTGACCAAGGCCTATAGCCTGGATGTCACAGGGCAGTGACAGGGCAGGAGACCTAGAGGGGCCTTGTGTCCACATGAGACAGCCGGGTCTCAGTCCCTGGCCCGGACGGCAGCCCTCCCAGCCACCCAACACTCAGGAAGCAGCAGGCACTGGCAGTGACTCAGCAGGGGCCGTCCCAGCCAACAGAGGACATTCAATAAACCCTCCAGCACCAACCGTCCGCCTTTCCACAATGACCAATGCCCCAGACTGCCGGCACCCAGCTCAGAACTCTGGGGAGACCCAGCCCCTCCCCAGAGCCCCTTCTCCACCCAGCCCCGGAGGAACGCGGAGTGGGCAGGGGTCTCCTTCGCAGTCGTGGGGACCTCCTGGTTCCTCCAATTTCCTTGGATTCCCCCCTGCTGCCTGCCTGGGCACTGGAGCGTGTCTCTCAGTCTGCCCTGGCATTGCCTGGCATGGAGCCCCCGGTGGCCGCCACACAAGCAGTCCCAGCTCCCAGGACCACGGGGAGTGTTTCATTCTATCGGGATGGCCCGTGGCTCAGGCTGTGCGTGGCTAGGATGAAGAGACCCGGGATGAAGGAGGAAGCCGCAGAGGAAGGGAAGACTCCCGCTTCCCAAGGCCCAAGGAATCAGGACAAACATTTGCAGAGGTGCTTCTGCCGCTCTCCCTGCGTTTGCACGCACTTTTCCCTACAGAAATCCCATCACCCCACGGCTGGTCGGCCCGTCCCCACCGCCTGCGAGCAGCTCCCCGCCGCCAGCTCCCCTTCACCCTGGTCTCCAGGGCCTGTTCGGCAGTCCTGTTGACAGCTGTGCTGCGGTGATTTAACCAGTCGCCTCGGCAAGGACCCCGGGCGTCCCCCATCTTTTAACGCTGAGGACGAGTGTCTGGCAAGGTGGCAGTGCAGCTGGAGACCCTGGGACCTGACTACCCCCTGCCTTTCTAGGAAGCAGCGTCCCCATCCATAAACAGCAAGGTGGGACGTGGTGCACACTGAGATGACATGCTTCAACGCCGTCCACTGGGGGGTCCTCGGGGTCACCCCTCCCCTGGACACCCTCAGAGGGGCTGCAGGGAGCTGGTGGCGGGATAGCGGAACGTCCTCAGAAGAACGTCCGTTTACCCGGGGTGTCCCCTACGCTGCTATGCTAGGAACAGCCAGTAGCCGACATATCTCGCCCCTTACCCACAGGCTGGCCACGGCCAGGGGCGCCACTCACCGTACTGACAGCGGGGGCCGTGGAAGCTGGAAGGACAGTGGCACAGCCGGGCAGAGCCTGGCACACAACGGCCACCGTGAAAACAGAGGCCAGTGCCACATTCGGCTGCGGAGGGAAGGAGAAGAGCAGTGAGAGTGTGGGGGGACCCCCTCGCCTCCTTTAATGTCACCTCCTCCCTCCCCCGCTTCCAGATGGGAAGGAGGCTGAAGAATAAAATAAAATAAGATAAGATACCGAAGAGCGGGGAAATGACTCCCCTTTTAGTTCTCAGCGTCTCTGCTATCTGTTAACCTTGAAAGAGCTGCAGATGAATGCTGTCCCTGCCTGCTGTTGCCCGGCACTGGGTCACGCCCCTACGTCTCCACGACCAGGCTCCCTCCTGGAAACACCTCTGCCAACAGCTTGTTGCTTTCGTCTTGTCTCTGTACGCCCCCTCCCCAGCTGGTCCCCTCTCGCGCTGCATATGAATGAGCAAATCAACGAAGCTAAAAAATTGTAAGGTCGGATGTCCAGCAAATGGACTATGACACAGTTCCGCCTCCGTTTCCCCTTTAGCGTTGTAAACCCATAAAAGGGGAGAGAAGCTGCAGCTTGGAAAGCTCGGTGAATGAGGCTGTTGCTCCCACAGCTCCGGGCCAAATCAAATGCCACTTCCTTCCTCAGTTCCGTGTTCGAGAGGTTTGTTCCCCGCTGCTCCTGCTTCAACGGGGGCAAGGAGTGGCGAGGCAGGGGAGGCGGGTCCCGAGGGTCTCTTGGGGAGGCGGCCCACCCAGCCTGCCACGTCTCTGTCCTGGCTCACACGCCGCCTGGCCCCCACTGGAGGCTGGCATGTCTCCCAACCCCCAGCCACTGCTGCATGCAGTTGGGGTCAGGCGGAACCCCTCCTGAGTGCAGTGAAGCCCTGACTCACTTCGCCTAGATGGGGAGACGCCAAGGGCATGTCCTGGGGAAGGTGGGCAGGGAATGGGGGCTGGGGAGAGGTGGGGGTAGGCAAGGTGGGGGTGCAGGGGGAAGGGGTGGGCAGTCCAGTGGGCAGCACTGCACAGCTGCAAGGGCTGATCCCCATTCCCAGGGAGGGGTGGCCCCAGCCCAGGCCCGTCGGATCCCCGGGAAGGGAGTAGGCAAGTTCATGGCAGGTGGGGCGCCAAGTATTGACAGAGGCTGCCCAGGGCAGGAAATCAGGGCCAGGGTGTGTGGGTGGAGGAGGCTGCAGCCGGACCTGAGAGGCAAGGGGGTGCTCTGTAGAGAGCGGGCGCCGTGAGGCTTGGCAGGCAGCTCCTCTACTGACAGCCCCTCCACAGCCCCCCAGGCTAGCCCAGGTGCCCCTGGGGGCTACAGTACCAACTTCCTTCACCCGGCAGCCCCTACCCTGCATGTTACTACTTGGGAGGGCAGAGCTAGGGTGGGTGGCTGCGCCTCACCCCTGAGGGCTGCTCGCTGGTGACCGCCCGGTCAGCGCAGTGACCTGAGACGCCCTGCCCTGCCCCGGGGCCTGCAGGACCTGCGGGCTCAGTAAGCTCGTGCGTTGCTCACAGCGCCCCTGCCAGGAGGGGAGAGGGAAGCTCTAGACCCCGGGGGCGGGAGGCGCTCTGCCGGGGACCAGGCCAGGGCTTCTGGGATTCCCAGGCACAGGCCGGGTTGGCTGTGCCTCATGGGGAAACCGAGGCTCGAGACTTCATTACCTGGCCTGGGCCACAGAGTGAGCTGTGACCAGCTCGGGCTTTAGGGCCTGCATGGCCATCTCGTTCACCGATGTGCCCAAGGCCCGCACCCAAACCCAACTCTCTAACTTAGGAATGTGGGGTCAGGAGGGCCTGGCCCAGGCCCGCACAGAGAAACACAGAGCCCTGTGCATGCTTCTTCCTCCCGCCCTCCTGCAGTCACAGCCACCGCCGCTGCCCCAGGCACCGGGGTCCCCCTCCCTGCTTGGGACCTCACACACATCTGGCCAAATTCAGGCCCCACCAGCCAACACCTGCAGCCTGAGGAGGGGTCCGAACGAGACAGGATGGGGGCCGGGGGGCTGGAGGGAAGCCGGATGGAAGCTGCTGTGACCTGGAGGCAGCACAGGAAGCTCCCCAGGGATGGGGACCAGCCTGGCCGGCCGAGTCGCAGGAAGCATCCTGTCCCAAGCCTGCTGCCTTGTACAACTTCGAGAGAAAGCCGGCTGTGTTCACCTCCCGCCGCGAAGATGGTTTTAGGGTTTCCTTGTCCTGGGGACCTCCAGCCCCAAACAGCCAAGATCGACCCCCCTTGCGTGGGGAGCAGGTGCCGGCCCAGGGTCCACCCCAGGACCATGCCCTCCCCAGACTCCTGCTCTGCCGAAGGATGGAAGGCACGACCTGCCCAGATCTCGGAGCCTGGGGGAAAGCGGCCACTCACTGCCTCCCACTCCGCTCCCTCCCTGTTTCCCGCTGCTGCACGCCACCCTCCCGTTCTCAGGGCCCCTCTTCTAAACTCCACACCTTCCCTGCTCTCCCAGGAAGCTTCTGCCTAAATCTGAAACAAAGGGAAAAGGAGCGTGCTTCTGAAAATCCCAGCCAGATCCAGCATCCCCACTGTCCTGGCTGAAGACAGTCTCTCAAGTCAGGCAGAGCTGACTGGCCAAGGAGAGGCGCGCACACGAACCCTACCACACTCACACCTGGCAGGACACCAGGCCCGGGCAGCCACTGCCCTCGCTTCCATGTCCAGGACAGACATTAATGGCTGTTCTCCATCCTGGGCTAGAAGGAGGAGATGGAGACCGATGATTGACGTCTGTCCCAGGCTGGAAAGACACCACAGATGCTCCCTGTGCCCTGGGCCAGTCACTCCATGAGCACATGCTGAATCCTCCCAGCAGCTCACCTAGCGGCTCAGACCAGGGGTCTGGGAGAGATCCCCGTGCACCCTGCATCATTCCCCAGCATCCAGTCCAAAGCCCGTCCAGTCCGGTCCACCCTGAGTACCCACGTCTCTACACCGTGTTTCCACCACGACATCTAGGCCACCATCATCTCCTGCCCCTGCAGATGCCTCTTAGCTGCCCAGCTTCTCCTGCTCACTCACTTTCCATTCTCTCCCCCGCTGCCATAGGGACTTTTTAGAATACAGCTCAGATCTGGGTTCCCCGGGTGCGCCCTTCGCTGGCTTTCCGCTGACTTGGCACAAAACCCCACGGCCCCCAGATCCTCCCTATCAGACCCATGACCAGCTCTTGGCCTCACCCCAGACTCAGCTCTCCCTGCTCGAAGGCCTCCCATGAGTGAGCTGCTCTCTGTATGGACAGCCCTTCCCTTCCCCAAATGTCACCTCCACAGGTCTCCAAATCTAGGCCCACAGCACCCCACCCCCCAGTGCCTCTCAACCGCCATTACGCACTCAGTTGGGGTGACAGCTCACTCCCACCCCAGGCCCCGGGCTCCCTGAGAGCAGCCCCCAACTCCATATTAATCGCAGGTGTGCCGGCAACCTTGTTGCTGAAGGAGTAAAAGAGTGAACAAATCCCTGCATGGCCAGGCCAGCGAGTGTGACAGTGACCTGTGGATGCTCCTTGGGGAAAGAGTCAGAGCTTGGGGACGGAGTTGGAGGGCTGCATGTGGCATCACCCTCTCACACCCCCAGGCACCCTGCACGCCTGGCCTTGCAAACCTGGCCTGCACACTCAGTCTGCACACTCAGTCCACACACTCAGTCCTGCACACAGTCGTGCACACTCAGTCCTGCACAGTCCCCACGCACAGTCCTGCACACTCAGTCCGTACACTCAGTCTGCACACTCAGTCCTGGCACACTCAGTCCACACACACAGTCCCCACACTCAGTCCTGCATACTCAGTCCACACACACAGTCCTGCACACTCAGTCCATACACAGTCCTGCACACTCAGTCCTGCACTCAGTCCTGCACTCAGTCTGCACACTCAGTCCTGCACACACAATCCTGCACTCAGTCCTGCACACTCAGTCCTGCACTCAGTCTGCACACTCAGTCTACACACTCAGTCCTGCACACACAGTCCTGCACTCAGTCTGCACACTGAGTCCTGCACACACAGTCCTGCACTCAGTCCTGCACACTCAGTCCTGCACACACAGTCCTGCACTCAGTCTGCACACTCAGTCCTGCACTCAGTCCTGCACTCAGTCCTGCGCACTCAGTCCTGCACACACAGTCCTGCACTCAGTCCTGCACTCAGTCTGCACACTCAGTCCTGCACTCAGTCCTGCGCACTCAGTCCTGCACACACAGTCCTGCACTCAGTCCTGCACACTCAGTCCTGCACACTCAGTCTGCACACTCAGTCCTGCACTCAGTCCTGCACACTCAGTCCGCACACTCAGTCCTGCACACTCAGTCTGTGCACTCAGTCTTGCACACTCAGTCCTGCATACTCAGTCTGCACAGTCCTGCACTCAGTCCGCACACTCAGTCCTGCACACTCAGTCCGCACACTCAGTCTGTGCAATCCTGCACACATGCACACACAGTCCTGCACACTGAGTCCTGCACACTCAGTCCTGCACTCAGTCCTGCACACTCAGTCCTGCACACAGTCCTGCACACTCAGTCCTGCACACAGTCTGCACACTCAGCCCGCAAGTTCAGTCCTGCTCAGTCTGCACACTCAGTCTTGCACTGAGTCCTGCACTCAGTCCATGCACTCAGTCCACGCACTCAGTCCTGTACACTCAGTCCTACACACTCAGTCCACGCACTCAGTCCGCACACTCAGTCCTGCACACTCAGTCCTGCACAGTCTGCACACAGTCCGCACACTCAGTCCTGCACACTCAGTCCTGCACACTCAGTCCTGCACCCTCAGTCCACACACTCAGTCTGCACACTCAGTCCTGCACACACAGTCCTGCACTCAGTCCTGCACACTCAGTCCTGCACTCAGTCTGCACACTCAGTCCTGCACACACAGTCCTGCACTCAGTCTGCACACTCAGTCCTGCACTCAGTCCTGCGCACTCAGTCCTGCACACACAGTCCTGCACTCAGTCCTGCACACTCAGTCCTGCACACACAGTCCTGCACTCAGTCTGCACACTCAGTCCTGCACACACAGTCCTGCACTCAGTCCTGCACACTCAGTCCTGCACACTCAGTCCTGCAC